TCTAAGCACTTATTTCACAGAATACAGTTTCATCTAAGTGTAAAGCATAACTACATGATGTAATGTGATGTTACCTTTCCCTCCTTCATGGCGTTCATGATGACCTTCTCCAGCCCAGTGGCCTGCTCCTCATCAGTGGGAATGCCTGGGAGCACCAACATGACAGAGGAAACTCAGGATGTACCATAGAACCGCTCACTCGTAATTTCACAGAACTATGAATAAATTACAAGAAACTATGAGTCAAATCCAAACTATTATGTTTATAACGGCGATAAAAACGCCCACGATAAGACCCGAGCAATCACTTTCCTGAGAGATGGGATTGGGTCATGAAGGTAGCAGCTCTGAATAGAAACAAATGTAAAGCAGATGACTGACAGAACCACCGACCCTCAGTTATCTAAACCCAATCTGACCTCTTTGCTGTCACTGTTAGGCTAGTGCTAAGCAGCAGGTTAGCCCCTAGCTTCGTTTAAGAACATCTGGATATTCAAAAGCAGCTGAACGCCGACAAGCAGAAAATGAACTTATTACAACCTAAGAGATTTAGCGGATTTTTACGACAAGAACCGAACGTTTCCTGGCAGAACTTGGAAGAGAAAGCGTTCCGCGGTCAGACGGACTAGCCTAGCTAACACTTCAGTATGTTATCTGGATGGTTGTGTGTCCGTGTCGGCCTCACCTCCAGCCGCCATGCTGCGGCTCAGAGCCGGAGCCCGGACAGCCTGGCAGGTTGTCACGGCTCTCAGCCCGGAGCGGAGCAGTAACCTTGCAGCCATTTCTCCTTCAATGTACGGTTGTCAGTCAGTAAAGACTGATGGACTTCTCCTTCTTTTGTGTTTTATTGGCGGATGGCAACCAGCTTAAGGTGCATTTACCGCTACCTACCGGACTGGAGTGTAGTCATCAATGATATTCAGAGGGAGTTTAATAATACACATACGGTGTGTATGAGTGCGCAAATTTACACACACACTGATAAACACATATATGTATATGAATGCACATGCATACACACATACATATACACTTTTAAATACGATTAAATAACCATGTGATTAATGGACTTCTTCCTCCGAACAAGCTTTCCTTCTAATTCAGTTACATTCGCGCCCCCTGTCGGTCTGGTCCATCAAAGTACTTGCATGGCTCTTCAAAACCTCATTCTCCACCTTCTATATTCTGTTTTCATTTTGTGTTATGTAAAAAAAGTTTCATTTTTAATAATAATTTTCTCATTATTCACTTCTGTTCTTTAAATTTCCCATAGACTCTGTTCTTTTCCCCTTCCCTTTGCTTTTCCCCTCATTCTCTCATTTACGTCGCCTATTTAACTTCATCAAAACATAATACACACTTTCTTTGTCTCCTCACCTATCACAATTATTATAATAAATAAATTATATTATACTATAAAGATTCACTTAAGTATGTATAACCTACTCAGTCTGTCATAATTAGATTTTCCCTTCTGTTTCTTTCTCTATAGTTCTTTGTTAGATTTTCTTTCACAACCTTCCTTTCTCATCTTCATTCCATCTTTTTTGCATTTCTATTTCTTTTCTTTTAATTATTGATTTACCGTCTGGAATCTACACTATTTTCTTCCCCAAATCTCTTTCAACAAGTTTTTTTTATGCTTCATTTTGAATAATCCAACAAAACTGAGTATCTATTCTGCCCCTGAATAAATTGTATTTCTTTAAGATCTTCTGTTATTCCCTGTAGCTTGCAAGTTTTCTATGGCTGCCTTGGAATTTCTGCACCGTTTCACCTACATCTACTGTAACTTACTCCACCCAGTGAAGGCTAATGATTATCTCTATTGTAAATACAGGTAATTGATTATTGTTTCAGCATACATAATTCAAAACCTGGAATAAATTATAGAATTTGAATTTCTACATACATGAGTATACTTTTTAAGATGATTATACAGGCTACCTTAAACATGTTCAAAACTCCTCCAAAGCAGTGGAATTAAAACTATTCTGCAAAAAACAGGTTACTGCCAGAAACTGACATCTGGTTCTCTTGCCATCTCTCTTTGTCAAGAGAGCTTAGTGAGATGAAAGCTGCACTGAGAGAAGCTTGTGGAAAACCAGGACATCTCACATATTGAAGCCAAATCCAAAACTCAACTACTCCCTCTTGTGGACAAATGTGTTAGTTAATAATACGACTTTGAATCCATTTTATTATAATAGTTTGACAGTAAAATCTGATTGTAGAATGTTTGAGGAATTTTCTAATATGCACATTTTAACTCTTGGCTTCACAGTGCAGCTACCAATTCTTCCTGTCATGTTTTTGCATGTGTACCATTAACTGTAACATATTTATCAGATAAAACATGTAATAAATAGTGCCAAAGAGACATGCATGAGTAGGAGTTCTTAATGTTTATTGGTTGAATAACAGCAGTAAAGTGGACCCACTATGACAGCGTACAGTACATAAACCAGAGTAAACTGCCTGAGTCTTCCAAACACATTGTATCTGTGTGGAAATGTAACAAGTAAAGCAAAGACTGATGAGGTCAGCAGGTAGATCAAGTAGAACAACAGAACAAGATGAGTGAACCAGGAAGTACGCCAAGCTGGAAACATCCTGCAGGGCGTGGATAATCTCACTCTTCTTGTACTGAAGGAGGAATGAATATTGCGACAAAAAAAAGCTATAAAAGGTACAGATGAGTGCTAAAGGCGTAAACACACACATCTGTACAGGTTACAGGTCTGAAGGCTAGTGGGGCAGCTCATGAGGCACCAGTTTGTAGTGGGCACCACAGGAGGGGCAGCGCTGGGACTCGCCCTCATGAAGCCAGAACCAGACGATGGAGGTGTTGTCTTCCTCACCTGCACAGAGGATGAAGGCAAACATCGTTATGAGCGTATGTGCAATCGCTCCCCACAGCGAGCTGCTACAGGAGGACTTACAGATGCAGCCCACAACCCTCTTGTTAGTGATGGAGGGAACCAGGTGGGGGTCGTTCTTGGAGCCAGCGTAGCTCTTAGGCTTCATCATGTTGAAAGGATCCTGCAAGGAATAGAGGAAGATGCTGATTATGTGAAAATGTAAAATAACTTGTTTTTGTTCATGTTTTATCAATCTAAACCCCTGCTGCAGATTCATTCAGCTGACTCTACACAAGAAGAACCCCACAGAATATTTTTTAAATTTGTCGGGTTTTTTATGTCGCGTTTCTGCACTGCTGATTGTAACACTCACTGTTCCCTCCTTCATGGCCTTCATGATGGCCTTCTCCATTCCTGTGGCCTGCTCCTCATCAGTGGGAATGCCTGGTGGAGCAGCAAATTATTCACTCATGTAGCTCAGGTAGAATTCATTTTAGTAACATACAGTGATGGTGACAACATTAATGAGATCATTCAACAGTTTTTTTTTTTTACCTCAGTTGTTCTGTAAATGTATTGCTACACTTTAATTACTATGATTCAAGTAAAATCAGGAATTCTGCCCTAAAAAGTCAGATCTTAAAAGTAACAAATTCTGTTTCTTATTTATTATTTATTCTGTTTCTAAATGACATTTATTTAAGCAGATAAAAAAAAACCCACTGAGATCTAAACCTCTTTCAGAAGAGTGACCTGGGTAAGAAAGGCAGCAGCACACGTCACCATAGATAAAACAACAGAAGTAACAAAAACAGACATTAGAAATATATAAACGCCAACAGTTAGACAATGAAGGGCAGTAATAATTTAAGATTTAAAACAACTGATACTGTTGACAGTGTATCTATTGTCAGTTTTGTAAAACTTTGCAAAATGCATTCAGTGAAACGAGTTCTGACAATTTTAGTCCACAATATATCACTAAAACCTCACCATTATCTGTTCTCTCAAATTACAACAATATTTTCTGGAAATATAGTTGCAACATGTTGAGCACCAGTCAGCTATTTGCTCTGTATTCAATGTGACGTCTCTCATGAAACCAATATACTATTTAAAAACCTATTTCATTATTTTCAAAACTAGCCGAAATAAACACAAGTTCCTACTTGTTCTGATAATTAAACGGCGTGGCTTTATAGAACGAGAAGCAAATTAGATGAAACGATATTAACAGATATGGACAATTTCCCTATGAAGCCCGGGGTCTATGAAGTTACAAACAGAAAGCGGTCCGCCGCAATGAATTTAATTTGTTCTAACAATGGCTAATCTCTCATTTCGGCGCCTTTTCTGGGTGTTCCTGTCGACCAAAGTCCCGTCCTCACCTCCAGCAGCCATGCAGCGCCTCAGAGCCGGAGCCCGGGCAACCCGGCAGCTCGTTGTGGCTCTGAACGCGGTGCGGAGAAGTAACCTTGACGCCATGTTTTCCTGTTGAGGGATGGTATTCTTCGTCGTTTTGTTTGGGTGGGCTAAACGACTCAAAAGCGTACTGCTGCCACCTTCTGTTTGTTTTTTATACCAATCAGTCTGTGTGAGCTAAGAGTGATTTTCAAGAGGAGGTCGCAGCCCCCTTAGCGGCCACCACAATGTGGCTTCACAATGTTGAAGATGAGAGAAGAAAAATACAAAAATAAATACTTAGTTTTTTCTTTAGAAATAATTTAATTATGTTTTTATCATAAAACCTACTCTGTTTTTTAATCATTGTTATAAGATATAATAATTTATTGAAATGTTATTTGCCACACTCATCTGTCTGATTGGTTGCTAGTTAGTCAAATAGCATAGCTAGCAAGTGTGAAACAGACACGTTTCTGATAAGAAAAAAACAGAATAAACTGTCCAGCAGTGAAGAGAAGTGTGAAAAAAAAATTCTAAAAGTTGATGTTTGTTTACATATTTTGTAGCATCATCTGTGTTTTTACAAAGGGGGTCCAAGGACAAAAACAAATGCTGTTTTGGGGGGGTGGCACAAAAAAGCTTAGGAACTCCTGGGCTAAGATATATATAAGAACAATTTAAAGGAGTAATGTCTCCTTTAAACTGTTATGCAGTTTCTGCCAGTAGACATGTTGAAGTGTGTCTACATCAGAGTCATGGAGGACAACTTCTATAATTTTCTGCGGTCTTAGAGAATGCAGCAGTGGATAAAAGTACAACCGTTTCTCAAATTCTTGAAATGGGAAAGGAGTAGTTGTTTTCCAGAAGGGAACTCCACTGAATGCCCCTACAAGCACTGCACTCCCAAGACACTAACACCAAATGTCTTTATTGTCAAATCAGTCTGACATAAAAGAAACCCCAACACAACCACTGATGTTCAACATATACTAGGATTATATGGAATGAAAAATTGGGTTAATGAAAAAGCTAAATTATTTATTTAACTAATTTTGTATTTATTTCACTCATTTTATACATTTATTGATTTATTTTACTGATTTTTTTTATTTATTTCACCCATTTATTTATTTATTTATTTTTGGCTGTAATGGCTCTCCATACAAAAAGGTGTGATTACAATATTCAAAATATGCAAAACTCACTCAAAGAATGAATATACTTGATTGTTATATTTTATTTATCCACACTTTTCATTTTAAAGGGGTAGGATATTCAGTTGATGGAAGTGAGCTTGTTGTTTCGTCTTGTATGTAAATTGTTCCAATGCTAAGCTAAGCATAACTCCTAAGCTTCCACTTTATATATTTTAGCACAGTAAAGAACACAATATTAGCTAATATGTTTGCCCTAAAATTCTTAGATTTTCATGGGGTTCTGGGCAACTTGTCTGCAGATGTCATTTCAGATTAGTTGTATTTTTACCCAACATTTTTGTTTGGCAACCAAGAGTGTTGGTCACATTTGATTTGAACAAGAACTTTAACAAGAAACAGGCAGTTTCCTTTAAGGGAACATTGCAGAGTGAGACTGAAGATTGGTAACATTTTATTCATTTATTTTCCAAGCGGGTGGTAAACAAAGACATGAAAAAGTTAATAATCCATTTTCATATCATGACTGCCACGGTTTAGTCATTAAGGAGCTCCACATAGTTTGCAGGGAACAGGCCGTAGTTCCCATCAGGTCCAAAGCCTCTCCACCAGCCTTCATCCAGCATCTCTATCTCTGTTATGATGTCATCTGGGTCAAAGGTGATCTCAGTGTCATCAGCTGTGGATGACAGGCAATCCAGGTAAGAGGGAAAAAATGGAAAGTCCAGATGCTGTTATCTTTTATTCTTTAACATTTTTAACTTGCATGCTTTTGTGACGGATCTGTCAGATAACATTTAAGCAATAATAATACACACAGATGAAAAAAGGAGTTTACATACACTACTTTAAAAGGACATCTCAGTTTGAGTTCACATGGAGTCACCAACTCAGTGCCAGAATAATGAGGGTTTTTTTTGTTTACATTCTTCAATGTCTGTAAGGTTCACATCAACTGAGTACTGCCTTTAAACTGTCAGATGGGAGGAAGGAGTAGAACCAAAGTGCAGACAGCAGAACGGGACGTCATACAAGACACAATTTAATGAATGGAGTCCAAAACATTTACAAAAGCTGGAAACCAAAACATGAAACGAGGGGCAACATGGAATAACAGAGCAAGGAGCAAACAGTGAGGGAGTTTAAACTGTAAACTGTAAAGGGACGTCTGTATCAGTACAGCTCCAACATAAAGACAAGCATGATGTGTTTCCTTACCAGCCTGGTAGTCATACAAAGCCCTGGCCTTGTACCGCTGCTGTTCTCCATCACCTGGATTATTATAGTCCTGAGACTAAAATTCAAAAACATCAAAAACATTTCATTATATTTAAAGGCTCCATACACAGAGAAATCTATGCAAATGATATGGAAACCATGACAATAAGCTGAAAGCACATAAACCCCATTACTGTCATCCAGATGGGTCACAAACACTCATGGGTGTCCAGGTATCCATCCTCTGACACACAGAGCAGACTCACCTCTGTCTGATCCTGGTAAATATTCTCATACAGATTGTCAGCAGTGCCAACTGGATCTGGACTCTGGTACAGATCCTGCTGAACTGGACTTTCAGCTGTGGGAGAATGACAGGAATGAATAAACATGGCAACAGAGGAATTACACAGAAAACGTTTTCCAGATCCTGAGAAGAGTTCTCTGTCTGGTCGTACCGTCGCCTCTGAAAGGTTGTTAGAAGTCTGCTTTAGGTAGAACCTGGAGAACCAAAATGCTTCTGTTCTCATTGGTTTGGAGTCATGGTTTAAGCTGCCATGCAAAATAATTTCTATCATTTTTTAACAACCACAAATGACACTGTATGTCTTGAGATAAACTGATGTTTGCTTATGAATGAAATATTTAATTTGGAACTCTGATAATTATAAATATATCAATAACATGGTGTGAATCTGTATCTGTATCTTTGAAAAACAAACTTCCACATTTTTTCTACGTGACAGGCTAAACCTAAATATCAAATATCGCTGTTTAACTTTTAACGGTGATGCTGCAGTAAACTCATGAGTAAACATCAATTGTCCATAGCAATTACTTTAACCAGTTGGCTCCTTCAGTGTGGAGATTAAAAATGTTGGTTTCTTTTCCATGAGATGCCATAAAAACTTATCTTTTTTCATTCTTTAGCAGACTAACTGGGTTTAGAGTTTCCTGGCAGTGAAAATTTCCAATTTCTGGCTAATAGACTTGGAATAAAAGCATGTAAGTGTTTGGATTTTCTAAAATGAAGCCTGAATGGTGAATGGAGTGAACTGATATTGTGGTTTTCCTGACAAATACACAAACATTTGTGTATTTATTTTATTTTATTGTCATTGTTCAAGAAAGAAAGCACAACGAAATTAAAATTTTAAACGTGTGACAACAGGAAGCTGGAATCAAACCTACAACCATCCAGGTGCAAGACGACTGACTGACTGACTGACTGACCTCCTACTGAGTGTTAGCAGTGTTGAGCTTTATAGCTCATGTTTAACAGAACTTGAAAGGAAAACACAAATGATGCATTTTGGGGTGTAAAAGGTCAACATGATGTTTGGTGATGTTACAGCCATCATACCTGGAGTCATTTCATCTGCATCATCATCAAACTCATCTGACCACTCTGCCTCCTCAGTGGAACCGTCCTCTGTAATCAGACAGGAGAAAAACGGAAACATTCAACTCAACACAGTACAGCCTCGGTTCGCTAACGGTGGCGCAGCTACCATAAGTAGCTGGGATGATTTAGTGGAAGCCATCTTAAAGGAAACGTAGGTCTAAAACTACTTGCAAAAATAAAACGACCCGATTAACTGTGATGTAGAGATAATCAGCAGTGGCAGCCAAAAAGACAAATTATCCAAACACAAACTATTCAAAAAGAAAAATTCAGTGCAGAAAACTGCTGCAATATTTCTGGCAGCACTTTGCTGACATCTGATCCAGGCTAATCATACCTGAATGGAAATGATCATGATTAAATTACTGACACTTGCATATATAGAGCTCAACAGGAAGTGTGTCTGACCTGCAGGCTGCTCATGTGAAGTCACCGTCTCTTGGAGGGTGGGCGAGAAAGCTGCAGCAGGAAATGAAGGCAGTTCAGGTGTGGCTGAGGAGAAGCGGTTGGTCACTGGGTAGTGGACGTCCGGCGGAGGACTCTGAGGCTTCACTGCTTCTTCAGGCTCAAACAATTTCTGAGACAAAAATGTACTTTGGAGCTTCCCTGAAGGCAAAAACAGGAACATCAACCATCCATTCTCTGCTTAGTGTCAGCAGAGGTACTGTAGAAACTAGTTACTTTTAGGAGTGATTTTACTACACTGTTTTTTCTACTTTTATTTGAGTAATTTCATTATGAAGTCGCTCTTAATTCAGTAAAATTTTTGGATTCTTTACCCACTGAATGAAGAACAAACATGTTTTAATCAAAAATTCACCAGACACAAACACAGACCTGCAGTTTTTGTTTAAGTTTCATATTGAAAGAAATTGATTTGGAACATTATTCTTTTGCTTGATTTATTTATTTTTTTTTGTTATATGAATTGTCATTTTGGTCCTTAAAATATCACAATTTCTTTATATTTGGTCCATCTGATGATGTAACTTTTAAATATTAAATGGTTGATAACTTTATCAATTACTCTGGAATTGAAAATACTTTTTACCAGATACTTTTTTACTCTTCCTTGAGTCATTTCTTGGACGGCTACTTTTTACTTTTATTTGAGTAAAAATATGTTGAAGTAGTGCTACTCTTACTTCAGTACAATGTGTGGGTGCTCTGCCCCCTCTGAGTGTCAGTTTGTTGTGTTTCTGACCTGGTCTGGATGTAACAGGAGACGGTGTGTTGGCCTCAAAGCTCTGCTCCCTCTGCTTGAAGATGTCTCTGGGATTGAACGCTCTCTGAGAAATCAGAGACTTTGCCTCCTGTGAATGAAAGAAAAGACACATGACCTGTTAGAGTCTGAAAATCTAAAGGAGAGATCATCTGCTATGGTACATTTAGATGTAAAGAGAAACAGCCAATCAAAAAGCTTTTAAATGGTCTAATGCCTGAAAAAAAGTGTAGGATATTAAAATGATTTTCTAGTCTGATGCTTAAACCACAATTTTTACCTCCAATTTCAGAATGTTCTGAACTTGTCACTGTGGTGTAGTTTTCTAATCCTGGTGGATAAAGTGGTATTTTGAATTGTTAAAGGGGCAGTACTATGTATTTTTCCTGCACATGTTATAAAAATGTTGTACATATCAAATATGACATAAAGGACATTTTGCTTCCTGACATTTTGCTTTCAATGACTTGAAATTGGGCTTCTGCCTCTTTAAAAACTCCTGCTCCTTCTGAAACTCTGCCTTCAGGAAGTAATCACAACATGGCTCCTCTATTAAAGATTGTATATTGAGCTTAGTATGTGCACAGTTTGCTAACTACTGGTGGCTAGTCTGAAGGAGCTCAGTGAGGGAGGGCTGCTCTGTGAGGCAGAAGCTTAGAAACTGAATCCCTGAGGAGGAGCTTCGCCTTGAGGGCGAGGCGAGGTGTAAGCAGGTGTTTTGCACAGCTGAATGGTTGCCATGGAGATTAAACATGCACCGAACTATCAAGGTAACACACCAGGTATGTTTTTGATTAGGGAATAACTTTATAACATGATGTGGAGGTCAGAAAGTTTGATTTTACATAATACTGCCTGTAGACATTTGGAAAAACAGGAGAATCCAACTTGGACACAAATAGTTACTAAATTACCTAAAATATTTACTCATCTGCCTTTACACACATGTGAAGACACACTCTTGATCCACAGGGTTTAATGTGATACTATGTTGCATAGCATCCACATGGTTTTATGGGAGCTCTTGACCATTCTTCCAGAAGTGTATATGTGAGGTCAGACATTGATGTTAGACGGGAAGGCCTAACCTCAATGTTAGCTGCAGTATTAACAGTTACTATCAATGGAACTGTAGAGCTAAGCCCAACTCCTGAAAGACAACTTCACCCCACAGTGCAGTCTGGTAAGTACGGTTTAGATGGCAACTGCCAAACCCAGACAGTCGCATAATTCATTACTACAGAGTACATGTCTCAACTGCTCTAGTGTCCAGTGAGCCTGATGGAATATTTAGTAGTGAGGAAATTCCAAGACTTATTCCACACATTTGAGAAACAGTCTGCTGGATTCTGTACTCCTCTGTTCATGGAAAGGATCTGAATAACTGGATTGAGTGTTTAGTGAATACAAGTGTTTTTAATGAGCTACAGCCAGTCAGTCATACTTACATTAGCTTTCTGCACAGATGCTGCAGCATTGATTCCTGTTACCTTCTTCGAATTTTCCTGCTCATTCTACAACATGGACAAGAAAATTAAATCCATTATCTGCAGAAGAACATAAGAATTGAAAAAATTTAAACATCATATGTAAAATATCTTGGAACTCTCACTCTGAACCAAGAACTCTAACAACAGGAAACATTGACTGGGGGAAGACTAATGAGGAAGAGATAATCCACACACAGTGGAAGTGTAAGACAACCATTACTTACTGTACTTGTCTTGTTTTCACATCCTCAGTTTTCACTTTGATACTTTTTGCCTTTCTAAAAGTTTATAAATCACTTTTATAAAGCCTGTTGCTGTTGTATCAACCGTCCAGACCACCCAGGCCTTCTGGTTCAAGTCTACTTTCCATCCCCAGAGAACTCAAATGGTAGCAAAGCTGAGATGTAGAGTGTAGATGGGATGTTTTGGTGTCCAGTACGTGCCTCAGATGTGCTGGATGAGCAGATACCTAAACAGCTGATAAATGGCATTTACCATAGGTGCTTTCCCAGTCAGGCAGCCTGGATCACTTCAACTATCCTGGTTGTTGTTTCTGTTACTTTTCAATGAATAATTTACACTCAAATGTGTCTCTCCTTACATCCAACAGTTCATTTTACTTATTATTTGCTTGATTTCTTTCAGCACATGTGCAGAATTTAGGACAAGGACAAGGGCAGATGGAAACCCCCCAGAGAGAACCAACCTGGAATAGTCCAGAAGACCTTCAGTCACATCCTTGATGTTTTCACTCACCAGTCGCTGTTGCTCACTTTCTCGTTCCTCTTCATCTCTTCTTTTCTGAAGGCTCCTGCCATGTAAAAAACATACAAACATTCCCACTGAGTCTTTAGCTGCTTGGTTTGCATGTTACTGTGCAGTTCTAACTCACCTCTCTAGTTCAATCTGATGAGCTCTGTCCTTCGTTCTTCTCTCCCTCTCTTTTGCCTGTTTCTCATCCAACTCCCTCATTTCCCTCTTCGCATTCTGCCTCTCCTGCTCCGCTCTCTTTCTCTCCTCCTTTCGACGTAGCTCCTCATCCCGCTGAGAAAAGACAGACATTTGTCACATTTGCAGATGCAGATGCTTGTGTTTGTAAGACTGCTGGTTGTGCATGAAAGAACAAACCTGAGCCTGGTCCCAGAAGTTATCCTTGTTGGTTTGCTGGATTTCCTCCACAGCATTGACTTTTCTGTACACAGAACCCTGGTATACAAGCAAAGGAGAAATTGGTTGAACATGTGAAAATTTCTATATTGACCGGCAAAAAATGCTGAGCACAAAGATTAATACTCAAAAAGAATAGTCAAAACAAAAGGTAGAGGTGGAGTCATCAACAGTCAGTCTCTCCAGGATGTTGCAATGTTTTTTTGTAATTGTTGCAGCCTATAGTTACTGATTTTGCTCCACATTTTTTGTAAAGTTGAAGTCAAAGTTGCAAATTGAAAAAAAAAAAAAAAAAAGTTGAAGTTGAAGTTGCAGCACATAACCTTTCTAAAACTGAAAGGTTATGATTTAGTTAGACTGTTTAAAATGCAAATTATATTTCCAAGTACTATCTTGAAATATCATCCTTAATACAAATCAAATCATGTCCTGAGGAATTCTCAATTTCAAAAGAATTCACATTGGTCATTCAATTTAACATGAACTGTACATACTGTATCCGAACACTTCAAAATCTCTTTTTCAAAGAAAAAGAAAAACAGGTCTGAGAATCATCCGATCTATGGATGAGTACATTTTTTGTGTAATTTCCTTTACTTAACCATTTATTCTTTCTGTAGAGGGTTATTCTATATTAAGTTGATTTAGTTAGACTGTCTATAACTGGCTTTGTGGTATTTGGTTGCATCAAATCGAAATGTTTCAACTAAGCCTAAGACTTCCAGTAGAACTCTTTCTGGAACTCATGGGACGATGGTGGTGACAGTGGAAGGGGTTAATTCTGCGGTTGGCAGGTTGCTGGTTCGATTCCGGCTCTTTTGTCTTGTTGTGTCCGCCTTGCCTGCTGGTGCAGAGCAGCCAGACTGCCTAAGGACTGCTGTGGCCACACCCATCCCATCAGCATGTGAAAGTGTGCATGGATAAATGTAGTGTGAAGTACTTTGGAGTCCTCTGATCTTGATAAAATGATATTAAGTACATGTGTTAAGATTTCATCATGTCTGTGATAAAGTCTGAACAGCAGCTGTGAAATTGCTGACAAAGACGGAACCTATGAGGGTCTGATGACAAAAGAAACTTTAAGACGGTATGTCTGAGAGTTTTGTGTCTCCTCACCACTGGTCCTCTTGGTGCGTCGATGTAATTTTGCTGTTTGTGAAAGTTATAATTGGCTCCGGAGGCTTTTGCAACTTTAGTCAAAATGGTCTCTGGTTCCACGTCCTCCTCTGTGCGAGCGTTTATGGTAACGTGAGCTCCCTAAGATCAGTCACATCAAGACGTTAGAGGGAAGGAGACAGGACGTTTAACTGCTTTCAAACCATCCAATCACAACATAGCAGAATCACACCTACCTTCAAAAAATTTGCTATGGCGCTGAGATGGTTGGCACACATTCCTTTACGAGAGTCCTTCACCCCTTCACCAGTCTACATACACAAACATTCATAATCTACATGTATTTTTTTCCATCAGGTTTTGCATTATTATTGACAGAAAATGAAAATCTGTGTCATTTTTTTTTTTGTGTGAATTAACTGGAAAGCCAGCCTGTCTTGGAGAGGTTAGACAGTGCTGTGAAGTGTTTGCTCTACAAGCTTTTTCAACTTTAGCTTTTTTGCCACACTTTGATGTTTTGACACATGAAACAAAGTTTTATCTAAGACAACATAAGATAAGCAACAAATGGCGTTTTCAAATTGTGACTTGGTTAAGTATCCGATCCAAACAACCTGACCCAAAGTTAAGAAGAAGATCCTCCTGTTAAGGAAGATGACTTAGTGGTTTCTGTGCAGGAGGAAGCTGAAGAAAGAGGTCAGTGACTTTTACTGGTAGGCTACTGTATTTGTTTGAGCAGCCGTGTTACAGACGCTGTTATGAAAAATCATATACAGTTCATGTATGTCACTGCTAAATATTTAAATAAAAGTTTAAAAATCTTTCTGTGTAAATATCTCATGCTTGGACTCCTGGCTGCAGCTCATAGAAAAGTGGTGTGTATATGTGCAATTATTTTTTTTCTTTTTAAAATTAGGTGTGCGCAAAAGTTAGGAAATTACGGTAGTAATGATTTTAATAACTTTCTTCTCCTGTTGTAGTATGGGAATCTGTGTGTGTGTGTGTGTGTGTGTGTGTGTGTGTGTATGTGTGTGNAAAGACATTTGTCACATTTGCAGATGCAGATGTGACAAATCTGCATCTGGTTGTGTATGAAGGAACAAACCTGAGCCTGGTCCCAGAAGTTATCCTTGTTGGTTTGCTGGATCTCTTCTGCAGCATTGATTTTTCTGTACACAGAACCCTGTAATATAAGCACATTAGAAACTGGTGAACATGTTGTGACAATTTCTACATTTCCTGGAAAAACGTACTCATCACAAAGATTAGTACACAAAAACAAATGCAAAAGCAATGTAGGTGTTGTGGTCAGTTTTACACAGTGTCAAAAGTTTGGGCAAATAAATACCATATATATATGATATTGGTAAATATTGATAAATACTACCATAACAGCAGTTTTATTATTGGTTAGTGCAACAGTGTCTCTACAGGTCTGACTAACAAATCAATCCTCCAGCTGCAGCTGATCCAGAACACTGCTGCTGGAGTTCTGACCAGGGAGATGGAGAACATCAGCCAGTTACAGTCCTTTGACTGAGAGAATAGATTTTAAAATACTGTTAGTTTATAAATCACTGACCGGTTTAGCACCACAATACATTAAAGATCTGCTGTTGTCTTATCAATCTTCCAGACCTCTCAGATTCTGGTTCTGGTTTTACTCAGTATCCAGAACCAGAACCAAACATGGAGAAGTAGCATTCAGCTTCTATGCATCACACATCTGGAACAAACTTCCAGAAAACTGGAAAACAGCTGAAACACTGAGTTCTTTTAAATTTAGACTAAAAACCCACCTGTCCAGACTTGCTTTATAACCATAGCAAATGAAACATTGACCAATGTTTTGATGCATAGTGATGATGTTGATGTTGCACAGATCAAAATGTAATGTTTGTCACTGGTTTCTCAACTGATGACTGTATGTTTTAATGACTTTTTATTTTGTGTTTTTATGATGTGAAGCACTTTGAACTGCCTCGTTGGTGAAATGTGCAATACGTGATTGATTGATTGATTGATTGATTGATTGATTGATTGATTGATTGATTGATTGA